CATCAGACCAGCCCACCAGGAAATCTCCAGACACTCCCACAGCCACGCTGGACCTGAGTTTAATTCTTTCTTGACAAATTCCTCTATTTCTCACCATTTCAGTCATGGCATCAATGGAGGAGGAAGAGATCACTGCCTCTTGGCAAAAAAACAAAAGAAAAGGCCAGATCAGAGATAAAGAAGGGGAATTTAATACATTGGTGTCGCATACAAAACAGTCCGTCGCTGGGCAGTTTATTGTGCGACACCGCGTACGCATATGCGGTCGTAAAAATTTGAGCTTTGCACGGACATGCCCTGGGGGGTACGTGCGTACCTCTGCATACGTACGTGCGTACCTCTGCGTATGGACGTACGCGGCAGTATACTAAGGGCTTTAGTTCCACAGTTCATGGACCAAGAACAGAGTCAGGTGATGATAGACAGAGCATCGGAGAAATGAATCATTCCTGCTCAGGGTCAGCTGATCACCTTGTTACAAGTTCTGGAAGTTATAGCTCATTTAAAGGCAACATATATTTGTTGGATGTTACATTTATGCTCAACAGATCTTAAGCTTCATTTTATTTTATTTAGTTATTTTGGGAAACTTCACCTGCACTTTAGTTTTTGTGGTGGATTTATTAATCTATATTTTGTGCAGACTTTTTCAATCTAAATAACAGAAGGATCTTTTTTATTTTTATACTTGGAGACTGAATACTTTACTAAGTAAAGTAATTTCAGTAAAATTACCCCTTTTTTTAATTTTACAATACTGCAAAGCAACATGTTAAGTTCATTTTGTCAAATAACTGATTTCTGCTTTTTTTTTTTTTTTTTTTGTTATATCACAAAATTTATCGTTACGGTCAGAATGCTCTGAAATATCACGATATTATATTTGAGCTATATTGCCCACCCCTACTGCTTTCTCCTTAAGAGTTAAGTTTTGAGGTGAACGTCAAGCATCTAGTGTAAAAGCACAATGAAATGAGAGAACTGGGTCAAATGAAGTAGAGCTGAAATGATTCCTTGAATAATTCAAGTACCTCAATTACAAAAAATCCTCGAGGCAAATTTATCTGCCTCGAAGCTTCGTTAAACCAGAGCACTGTGGTCTAGCCAGAAGGTTTTTGTGTTGCACAATGCTAGCACTTCCGCTAACGCATATGTGCTAAGTTTGTAGCTGTGGAGGGAAACAAAGAAATCATAGAAGAGCAGCTCTGAAAACAACAAAAACTGTCAAAAGTTTGGAAACATTTTAGGCTAAACAGAAAAGACTACACAGCACAATGCATCCACTGCAAAGCAGAACTGGAGTAACCACAACAGCACATCATCGATGTTGCAGCGTCTGACGAGAAAACACCCACTGTCTGCATCAAACTCGTCCGCTGCTGCCAACAGGTATCATTTATGTTCTCTTTGCAAAATACGTTAACCTAAATGTGTGATAATCTGTCATGTTAAAGATGTCAAATGAGGCATATTTTTGCTAATGTTAAATCTACTGACTAATCATAGTGGCTACCTGGCAGGGTGTTGTTTGTAAGTTATGTGAAAAAACACAAAAAAACAACAGCTATGCAGTACTTAATGCAAGTTTGTTAACGATAAAAGCAGCAACAGACTGACGGCATGAACTGAAACACATTTATTTATTGCTGAACTTCCATCCTGACTTAAATGAGATATTTAAAGTGAATATTTCAAGTATAAATGTATTTACATGAGTTAGGTTTTCTTCTTCTTGTTTGACCTGAAAATGGCTTGATCTGCATTTATTATTACTGTCATATTTGCTTATAGCTAAGCAACTAAGACTAAATAATAATATAGTCTTAATAAAAATAGCAATGTATTTTTACCATTTACAATTACAAGTTAAGTCTGCAGAACTGAAAAGTACAAACCCAAACTGTTACATTGTCTATCTTAATTACTCAATTTCTAACAAAGGTCTCAGAATTCAATCGAATTCTGTTTTACAATCCATAAAAAATATTTTACAATATTTAGATTTTTCTGTGATGGTTAACAATAATTCAGTGACAGAGGGTTTTAATTAATGCATCCTCAAACCTCACACATGAATAAAAGCTTGAAATGCATAAATCAAATACAACTGACATACTAATGTTACTTTAATTGCAGCAGGGTCATCAGAAAGTGTAGATTGCCCCTTAATATTAAATAATTTTATAATATCCAATGAAGTACACTTGAAAAATATTTGTTAAGGTATAACAATGCACACACAAATAATTTTCTTCTTCTTTTCAGTGAATGGCAGAGTCATACGTTAAACTGCTTCGTACATAGGGCTCCAGGATGTTGGGTTGTGCCAGCAGCTGACTTCACAAACAGCATTTTAAATATGATCATCACAGACATGTAGCCACTGTCCGTGGTGGAAGATGAAGGCTTCCAGAAGATCATCTCCACCTTCAATCCAAACTTATTTATTTCTCTTCTGTTTTTGCATTTTAGAAAAAAAAAAAAAAAGCAAAAGTTTTGCTATACCGCAGAGTTGAAACTGAAATGGAGGTTCAACTAGTTATTGCATTTTAAGCAATAAAATATTTTAAAAAGAGGAATTAAATGGGTTGTTTACTTAAATGTTATTTTTCATGTATTTGTATTACTTGTAAAATGAATAATTACTGCAGAACCTGACTTTTTATTTTCAATAAATTGCCAGAATAATCTATAGATTACTCGATCACTAAAATAATCGTTTACAACAGCCCTAAAATGAACCAATTACAGCTCTGAATTTGTTTCCAGCTGCTAATAAAAGTTAGAGATGAAGTTCTTGTGTTCAGTTGATGTTAAAACGCCACATATTACTTCACTTTATTGCCATGCAAACGTTGGCAAAGAACACTGAATGAACACAAGGCTCAGCAGGGAGGATTGACAAAATCTTTTGAATATAGATATCAGGACATGCTTGGAAAATTAACGGTCCTGGAAATTACAGGCTAATAAAGTGTTTCCTTAACCATCATTCAGGGATGGTGGCCTGCCCCGCTGTAAAGATCATGGCATGTAAAAAAACAAATGTCCATACATGTTTGCATGCGACCATTTCTGTGCAGCAGGGGAGATGCCGACTGTCCTCACCCCACCTCCAATCATCACTCAGTCCTCTCGCTCCATGCTTCGACATCTCTGAACTTTAGAATCAAAAAGTAAAATTTGTATTAAATGTTCATGCATTCTGAGTGACATGATCAGCATACACACATTCAGCCAAGTGTGTGAAGGACTTTTCCCATTTGCCCATTTAAGACCCCAGTATACTCCCACGTACGTCCATACGCGGAGGTACTTACTCATAGAGGTACGAGCGTACCCCTCGGGGCATGTCCACGCAAAGCTAAATTTTTACATACGCGTACGCGGTGTTGCACAATAAACTGCCCAGCGACAGACTGTTTTGTATGCGACACAAATGTATTAATTTCTCCTTCTTCATCTCTGATCTGGCCTTTTCTTTTGTTTTTTTGCCAAGAGGCAAGTGATATCTTCCTCCTCCGTTGATGCCATGACTGAAATGGTGAGAAATTAAGGAATTTGTCACGAGCGAATTAAACTCAGGTCCAGAATGGCTGCAAGAGGGTCTGGAGATTTCCTGTTGGCTGATCTGATGTGTGGGCTGCAGAGAACTATTAAGCCATGGTGCATTCAAGAGCATAGGAACCATGAAATTCAGAAACAAGCCATAACCAAATGGAACCGAGCTCAGTAAACAAGCCAACTACACAACAATGTGGGTTTTCTAACAGCTTTGTTAATAAAGTTTGAATGAATTCACTTCATTAGAATCAGACTTTTTAAAGAGCAAGTCAGACTTTCATTATATTTGCTCTGTATGTGTTGTTTACATTTTAAGTGCACTGCTGTTTTTGGTTTGTTATGCAGGAAAAAAACAATTATTTTTTAGACATTTTTGTACAGTTACAGCTGTGCCTGTGTGATAATTGGAACTAAGTTTTGACTCCGAAATATATTTTTGTTATTTTATGGAAAGAAAAAACATATCTACATATCGTAGATCGCCATTCATCTTAAAAATATTGCGATATTAATTTTGGTCCATATCGCCCAGCCCTACTGAGGAAGTAAATAAAAACTTCAAGGATTACCGTCAGTTTGTTTAAATATTTTTATTTTTACTTGGACATTATATGAATGTTCTAGACAATCCTTGTCTGGCTGTGTGCGTCGCGTTCTACATAAAATTAATCCCAACATTTATTGATTAGGATCTGGTCCCCCAAACACAAATTTAACCAAACACAGCAGCTGTGAGTTGGTGTCTGATCAGAGCAATCATTAAATAACTTATCTGTTTCAATGCTGCCCACATTTTCCTCTTTCATGTCTTCAGAATGTAGAGCAAACTGGTTTTAATCTGCAGCCTGATGACAGACCTGGATGTTTTCAACAGCTCCCAGTAACACATCCACACAGAGCAGAGTTTAATGGCTGGATGTCTAACTTTCTAGCAAAACACATGAAATAAACTAAAGGATTTATAATTTGATCTTTATCTTGTGTTACTTGTGTCGCCTCGCTGTCTTTCAGATACCTGGGTCAGTTGTAACGTCTTGTATCTTAATGCAGCGTTCACAGTATAAAAGGTGCTGACGTGAACATTGGAGCATTAGATTCAGACATCGCTTTGAGCAGCTATGGACGTCAAAATGTTAAGCGTTGTCTCAGGCCTGTTGTTGAATAGGCCTATGCAGATAGTACACACAAAGGATTATGGGTATTTTCAATTTTTAACCACCACCTTTAGCTTTTACGTCTCAAACAAATTAAAATTTGAGTTGTTTTTTAAAGGACTAACATTTAATGTCTGTCTTGTTTTGGTTTTAAATAACTTTTTTTTGTGTCTTTCAGAGTTTACAAAGTTTGTAGTCTGCACTAAATGTTTTTTGCTTTCAAGAACCTGGTGTAACTAACATGCATGAATAAATATTTCTCTTCAATTTGTTTTTCATCAGGTGGTATGGCCAGGAGAAGGACTACAATGTTCTAGTCATGGACCTGCTTGGACCCAGTCTGGAGGACCTGTTTAACTTCTGCTCTCGTCGCTTCACCATGAAAACAGTCCTTATGCTGGCAGATCAGGTAGAACAGCTGCACACGCCAGCTTATTTGAATTCTGAACAGATGTTTAATAAACACAAGTACTTTGATCATTTTGACTCGGCAGATTTAACCTGAAATTTGTCTCCACAAAGGAAATGTGAACATTTATCTCCCCTTGGGTTCCTCCCAGTGACCAGACGTGCACGGGTCTGAAGGTCTCATAGCAAACATCTTCACATGGGACTGCGGGAAAAACAACTCGGATCAATATTGATCGACATGTTGTTGTGTCATCAAACTCTATGGAAATCCAGGAGTGAATAAACGTGTCAAACAAGATTTTTTTAATTGAAAAATGACCTCAACGGCTTTTTGAAAATAATAGATAAAATGGCCATACAGACCAGTTTCTTTACGCTGCCTCTGGCCACATCCTGCCCAGTCATGACTGCTGTGTTGTGGAGGGCGACACAGTAAATGTGTGCCGGGCATTTCCTTTGTATTGTTTTCAAAACACGATGGATTAACTCAGTTCGTTGGTTTACTATTTATATTAAATTAAATGCAAAGTTGCTGTGAGTCATCCTCGATGTTCCTTTTATAAGAAATCTGTAACTGGATGGTCACACGGACCAGACTTCCATCATATTCAGTTGTAAAGCTGGCTTCTCTTTTCATGTGTTGACCAGTTTGGCTCTGTTACTACTTTGTTTCACAGCACAAAGGTGCACCAGGGATGGGTTGGCTTCGACCCTCCTTGCTGCTTCAGTTCAGTCAGAAATCACATCCACTCAACTAGAAGGTGTCAAGTCTTGGCCTGAGGTGTTTAGTATGAGAGTTTCTTTCATGTGACGTGTTGTAGAAGAAATTGTAGTTCAATAAAAATACACGTTTACGTGATATTTATTAATTTATGTTCAATTGAGGACAGACATACTGAATAAGTGAAAAACCATCTCTTTGATCCAAGTATAAAAGTTTTTGGGCTACAAAAGCTAATTTACATACTAAAAGGACTTTTTAAGAGCTCTAAATATTTACAGCAAAGTAAAAAATGGAAGTATACAAAATATTACAATAAAGTTTGTGATCTATTTTATACGTAAGGAGCTAACGGATGATAAATGACCTCCTTGTGTTGATTGGTGTTTCTCTCAATCCTCAGATGATCAGCAGAATTGAGTATGTACACACAAAGAACTTCATCCACAGAGACATCAAACCAGACAACTTTCTCATGGGCATCGGCCGTCACTGTAACAAGGTAGGTCCTACAGAAATCCGCTTCATCGCGTGAATGTTCAGGGTTCATACACACTATGGAACATTTTGGAATTGGACTTTCAGGTTTTCCCCTCATTCACTGCTCTGAACACGTCACGCTTAGAAACCCAACAAAACCGATGTTTAACAATTGTTTATGAGACTGTTTAAACCGACAAACATTAAAGAACCATAAATGTTAAAATAAGGGCCAGCATGACTGTAATTTATTAAAACTTATCTAGGTGAAAGTTTGTCTCCGCTGCCTTTGCTGTGGTGAAACTACAGGCCACCATATATTTCATATATATGTATATATCAACCGTCCCTTTCATTTGAGGAAACTGTTTTCTAGTTTTTATGTTGCTTAAAAGTAAAGTTTTCTCAAATTATTAGGGTGTCCGAAGGTTAATCTTTTGTGGCTTGGCCACCCCTTGGCTCCACCATTGCACGCACCATGATTAGTCACTCTGCACCACCGGGGACAATTAAATAATTATTACCTCTAAAAACATTAAGGTTTACTTGCATTCCCTGTTCAATTCCAGTCCAGAAAAACACTCCTCCAAAACTACAAACATTCACTATTCAGCTCTGTCAGTGACTGGGACATCGACGCACTACTTGCTACTGGATTTGGCAACTTTTGGAAAATAGTCAGTTCATTCTTTCTGGGGCACCCTGTCTATAATATTTAAAATGTCATGAATAAAACATTCAGTTAGCTGACACATACATTCAGATCCACGTAGAAAGACAAATTTATTTAAATACATGATCTTAATTTTGATTCAGTTCAGTTTATTTATAAAGCGCCAAATCCCAACAGAAGTTTTCTCAGGGCACTGAACAGAAACATTCACATACATAATCCAATTACTAAAAGTTTCCTATCTAAGGAAGGAAGGGAGGACTTCAACAGTTTTATAAGCTAGAGTGTAAGGGAATTAGTTAAATTCAGGTAAAAAATGTTTTTAAGCAAATAAACGGATCCTTTAAATAAAAAAAAATCAAAGAAAAATGGTAAATTTCTTGCTGTAGTAATCTTCAGATGGTGCGTTGGAAAGCCAGTGAGAAAAATCATTTTTGGTTGAGGTCAACCCTTTTAACAATTTTTACATGATCCCACAGATAATAATTTTCATAAGTTTTGACATAAACAACTTAAAACCAACAGAAAACCTAAATTTAAAACAAATGGTTTCCAAATGAAGTGTGTATGAACCCTGAACATACAGGTTGTTTGACACTAAATACAAGTGAATAAGTTTTCAGTATCTAAAGCAGGCTCCAGTTTTCAGCCTTTAATAAAGCTGATCTCCAGTCTTTGTATTTGTAGCATGGATGCTAGTTTTCATCACTTGAACTTTTAGCAGAGGGGTGTCAGCACCCCCACAATAGAGAAGAGAGGAGTAAAGAAAGGCTTTGATGGTTCAGTCCAGTTTTACATCCTGTCACAGCCCTGAACAGAGTTTTTAATTACCTCCCTTTAGCTGGTGGTCTGGTGCTTTTGGACCTCTGTCCTGGTTTCAGTAGTTTGGGTCAAAGCTCCAGTTCTGTCCTGGTTCAGATCAGAATGACAGTGAGGTTTCTTGCACTCTCAGAAAGAAGCTTATCTCCTCGTAGGTTCATTACACTGTTTGTTTAAGGTTACGTTTGAGTTTTATTTTAAAGAGGCACATTTTTTTTGGTGTTTTTTGCTGATGTCTCTAGGTTTATGTGAACGTTAGTACAGAAAGTAGTGATTCACTTCTGTAAATAAAGCAAAGATTGGAAGAAGCTAACATTTGAATAAAAGAAGCCACTTTGAAAATTAACTTCACTTCATTTGATCCTTTCGGTTGTTTGGCTTTATGCAGCCGCTCCTCTGTCAGCGGTCTGGGAGCGATTCTTTACAGCTCTTGATTGTGTACATTAAGTTTTTTATATCAATCTTTTTATACAAAGTGGAGTCACATCTCTGAAGACTGAATGAACTGTGTGTTATTAAAGTTCAGGATGTGTTATTTCCTAATTCTGAGTAAAATAAGGTAGGGAAAGAAGCAGGCATGTTAGAAACCATGTTAGTTTAAGAAAACTGTTTTTTTTCCTTTTCTCTTACATGGAAATGATCTCTACAAACACAAAACTTTTACACTTATAAACTCCTTTACAGCCCTTAAGTTGGAAATGGTTTTAATGCTTTTATTTTTAGTGTTTTTGGTGACAAATATTGTTTCTGAGCACCGGCGCAAACCTGTCTGCCAAATTAGATTATTTGCGCAACCCTACTTTCAATATACATATTTTTTTCCCTGCTGTGACATCTTGGAAGCCTTTAAATATTTCCAGAGCCTCTTTATATAAAAAAGGCAGAAATTATTTATCATTCATATGAATTGAGGTATTACCGACTCGTTACAATTTCCTGCGGGATCAGTAAAGTTATATCTTATTTTTCCATAATGTGCCAATACAGCAGATGCAGTAATTAGGTTTGTATGGTTTAATGTTTGCAGCATTAAAATAAATGTTTAACACGTAATATGTTGAAAACACGCAAACAGCACGTCCTAAATGCATCATAAGTCACATCTTTGGGACTCCTCGTGTCTTTTCCAAATGCAGGAACTAGCCTCATGTCGCGGCGCGTTCCCATTACTTCCACGATAAATACAGCCGTGGGCTTTATGTATCGATGTCCCATGCTACCAGTCATGATACAAACGGGGAGGTGTGTTCATTAAAATGCCATAACCTTCATGGGGAGGAAGGTGGGGGGTGCGCAGGGGTGCACGTCAGAAATAATGGCTTGTAACTCTGGTAACATTACGTCGGAAAAATATCTACGACTGCGGACGATGTAGCGAGGCTCAGTGTAGTCCATAAATCTTGGGAATCCGACATCCTCACCAACGAAAAATAAAACTTCCACAACGCTGACGTTTAGAATTTTCCTCTTCGCCGTGAGATTGGGTAGGCGCACGTGACGTCATTGCGTCGCACTGCCTCTGCAGACAAAAAATGCGCCTTTTATATCGGCGAGTTATTTTAATGGAATGATCGATGTCCAATATTGAAATTTAACACTAATATCAGCCGATAACGATACCATGCCGATAATACTATACCTTTTTATTTATAGAGCACTTAAAACAGCGACAAGGCCAACCAAAGTGCTGTACAGACAGATAATAATGTTGTGCACTCCTAGATTAGGGTCTGTAAATAAACGCAACACGAATGGTCCAACATACAGTTTGCTGTTCATGTCTCGTTTTATTACGCCAGTTTTTATATTCTCGTTTTTTAAAATGCAACAACAGTTCAAAACAGAAGAAAACAAAATTAAACTTGTACACGTTTCCTAAAATAAATGTTGACACTAACAGCAGATTGATTTTAATCAAATTATAGTTGTTACATAATGAGTTTACAGACCCCGCATAGAGGTTTAAAATGCTGCAAATATTAATCTATTGACCTTTAAAGCCCAGGTTGGTCTGACATTTATAAATATTTTCTGTGTTGCTCTTTGTTTCGCACTAAGGTACTATAGTCCCACATTTATTGTGGGGGTTACGTTCCGGACACGCCTGCAATAAGCGACTATTTATTTTAGTATTTATATCTATAATAAGGCTTTATAAACCCTTCCCACACACTTGCAATGTTCTAAACTCTAAACGCTCTAAAAAAAGAGCACAGTTGTCATGATATCGGCTCTCTGCCACACCCACTTCTCCACTGCAATCACACTCATCACATGTGTCACTCCCAGTCTCCCTCCTTCTGTATAAATAAACAATCCATGCCACATGAGCAGCATGGATTGTTTATATTAAAATATCTGACCTGAACCGAGCCTTTAGTCCCCTCGGCGAACGGGCCAGGCCACCTGGAAAAGTCTTGATGCTCCCAAAGGCCAGTCTGCCCCCAACTCCTGCTGCAGCAGGTGCTGAATCAGTTCAAATTTATTTTAAATAAACAATCCATGCCGCTCGTGTGGCTCATCCATCAATCAAATTGTGTGTCATGTCCAATCTTACTTTGAAAACCCACGAAAGAGCGAGTCTGCGAAAGTCGAACCACGAAGTAGCGAGGGACTACTGTAATGTTTAGCCAAAGTGCAGCTCAAGTTTTGTTTTAAATTTTTATAAATTCAGTTTTGACGTGACTATTTGTAACGGGGTTCTATGGAGCTGGTGTCAGCTGCCAGCGATTTACCTGCAGTAAACAGTCTGAGTTTAGAGAGTCGTGGAAAATGTGTAACCATAAAGATAACATTTGTAATTTTTAATCTTTCATAGTTTTATCATCTGATGGTCACATTGACGGGGTTCTCTGAATACACAATGCATTTTTTGTTTGTTTCACACAGAACATGGACCAGAACCGCAGCCCTTAGTGTAAATAACCTGACTGTGGCACTCGTTCCTGTCACGTGTTTGTGTAAATGTTGGGAAACAGGGCTCATTTCCACCTGAAGCATGTTGTAAACTGCTGCTTAAAGACCCGAACACACAGCCTCTGGACCGTTTCTTCTGCTTGTAGCTTCCTAACATGTTTCGGGACACTTTTATCTGCTGCTTCTAAATATCAGTCTGTTTATTTTATTTTTCACTATCCTATCAATTTCCAGTTGTAACGGGCAGCTCTGTGTGTAACATCAGTGTCTGATGTGTTCAAATTTTCACTCATGCTTTTAAAAATCTGTTATCTTTACATTAAATATAACGATAATTACCCTTTCCAAACTTGAGCTCCCCTCCTTTAGAGGGATGCCCCCACCTGGTGGTGATGCCAGCAGATCAGTCACAGATTTACTGTAGATCAGAGCTGGTTAAACCTGGACACTGGTTGTTGCACATAAGGCACTGAAGCACGTGGGTGCAAACGGCAGTGCCTGTTGTGCTCATGTTCATTTTGACTAAACGGTGGATAGAGGTTGTGTAATTTTGACCCCTGCCCCTCTACTGTCTGCTCTAGTGTTTAGACTCGTCAGTGGGGAAGAGGAAAAGA